GTATTTTTTCTTTAATTTTACCAGATTGTGCTTTAAAAAAAAAAAAAAATCTGATTCCAGCGCTGGATCTCTATCCATGGGTGCACACACACACACACACACACACACACACTGGGACACACATACACTCACTGACAGATACACACTGACAAACACACATACACACTCATTCACTTACAGACACATACTGACAGATATACACATTCACTGACAGACACACACTCTCAATGACAAACACACATACACACTCAATGACAGACACACACACTCACACTGACACTCTTACTAACAGACACATGCTAACACTCACTAACTGACACACACACACACACACTCACTCTCACTAACAGACACATGCACTCTCACTAACAGAGACACACTCTCACTAACAGACACACTAACACTCACCAACAGACACACATACTCTCACTAACAGACATACACACTCTCACTAACAGACACAAACTAACACTCACAAACAGACACACACTCACTAACACACTCACAATTTTTTATTTTTTTTTGCTTACATTTGGTGGATTTTTCCCTGTGGTCTAGTGGGGCTGGCTGCAGCTCGGTGGGTAATTGGTCCCACTGTGAGCAGTGGAGGCGGGCGGTGAGGGATCTCTGATCTTCCCGATCAGCTCCCTCGTGCACCTCTCAGTGATGCCGGAAACCAGAGGGACGCCATATTCTGGTTCCGGCATCACTGCGGTGTGCGCGAAGGTGCTGAGAAGTAAGAGCTCAGGGGAGAGCGCTCCCTTGCCACCCGCCTCCTACATCAGTGCATGCCAGCCTCGGGGGGACCCTGAGCTGGCCAGCCGGCCAGCTCTCTAGTCCCCCAGCACAAGAGTATGGCAAGGCATTTGAAAGTGCTGCCCAAGGCAAATGCCTTGTCAGCTTCGCACTAAATACAGCGCTGGTGACATGTGGTCTCTTTCTCAATTTGGTCTTACTCCAGTGCTATGGGAATGATACTTGCTGTGCATGCGCTGGAACATACACTGTCCTCAGGGAAGGACAAAGGGTGGTGATTACAGATGAGGGCTGTTACAGGGAGGTAAGGATTTTGGGAAATGGGACTTGACAAAGGATGTGGAATTTGCCTTAAAGGGACTCTGGTCACTAGTCATTAAAACAACTTTTGCTTAATGAAACAGTTTTTGTGTATACACCATGCCTCTGCAGTTTCACTGTTTAATTATTTGCCATTTAGGAGTTAAATCAATTTTGTTTCTATCTATGCAGCCCTAGCCACACCTCCCCTGGCTGTGTCTGACACAGCCTGCATGAAAAAATGGTCTCACTTCAATCAGATGTAACTTACTTTATATCTCCTCCTCTGTACATTGAACTTTAATTACAATGTACCCCCTTCTCCCCCTTCAGCCTGGCGGGAGTGGGAACCTGAGGGTGCGGGTACCCTCAGGGCACCATAGTGCCAGGAAAACTACTGTTTTCCTGGCACTATAGTGGTCCTTTAAGTTACTGGGCCAGAGCTGCCAAAGTTAACTCACCTTTTTCTCCTCACCATGCTGGTCTATTTGCTGAAGCTCCTTCCCTTTGGATGAGGCCATCAATGTTGATGATCTGAGCCAATCCAACACTTTCCTAAAATGCCGCTCTGTGCCAATCAGATGGTCTCCTGTGGCCATCAGACTAATATAGCAGAGTTTTACTCTACTATTTTATGGGAAACTGACAGCCACTAGAGGCAGGATAACCCTGAAATGTAAACACTACCATTCCTGTAGGGTTAAAAGGGGGCACTTAGCACCCAGACCATTCCCCATTGGGACTCAGTGGTCTGGGATGCCTGCAGTGTTCTTTTAAGGGCAGGGCCGGCGAGTCCATAAGGCGGCCCAGGCGGCCGCCTTAAGGCGCCCAAGCAGGGGGTGCGCAAAAATCTGAATCCCCAGCCACCGGCTAGGGATTCAGATTTTTATACAGCCGCCCGCAGCCTACCTCTCCTGGCTGGCTCCCTCCACAGACGGTCCGATTGGTCCGAAGTCTGTGATGTGCCGCCCCCTCCTGATGATGTCAGGAGGGGCGCGACTTTCACCTCCCCCAGAGTCCCCTGCAGTCCGATGCTGGCAGGGACAGGCTCCCCCTGCTGGCTGGCTCCAATATGGCGGCGCCCATGTGAAGTGCAGCGAGAGGGAGTGAGACAGGGAGGAAAGGGAAGCAGACAGGCCCAGGTGGGCTCCAGTATGGCGGAGTGCAATATCCTACAGTGAGTAGGGGGCCAGACTTCCGCTGCCCGCCCTCTCCCCCTGCCTCCATCTTGTCCAAGTCCTGCAGAAGGGACAGCAGACTTACCTGGCTGGAAGGAGAACAGTGACCTCTTCTGCGTGCTAGACTGCTCCCCATAGTGTCTGCAGACTGCAGTCTCCTCAGATCCACCTCACTATAGACCTGGCTGTCAGCACTTGAATGGGGTAAGTTTTTAAAGAAAAATTATATTTAATTTTTGAATTATACTCTGTATCCCCTGTCAGGGCATTAAAGGACCAACTCTAGGCACCCAGACCACTTCAGCTTAATGAGGTGGTCTGGGTGCCAGGTGCAGCTAGGATTAACCCATTTTTTAATAAACATAGCAGTTTCAGAAAAACTGCTATGTTTATCAATGGGTTAAGCCTTCCCCCATTCCCTCTAGCGGCGGTCTCATTGACAGCCACTAGAGGCGCTTGCGTGCTTCTCACTGTGATTTTCACAGTGAGAGCACGCCAGCGTCCATAGGAAAGCATTATGAATGCTTTCCTATGCGACCGGCTGAATGCGCACGCAGCTCTTGCCGCGCGTGCGCATTCAGCCGACAGGGCGGAGAAGAGAAGGCAGAGAGCTCTCCGCCCAGCGCTGGAAAAAGGTAAGTTTTAACCCCTTTCCAGAGCCGGGCGGGAGGGGGTCCCTGAGGGTTGGGGGCACCCTCAGGGCACTATAGTGCCAGGAAAACGAGTATGTTTTCCTGGCACTATAGTGGTCCTTTAAGGTGTCAGAGTGACATGGGGTTACAGGCTCCTACTCCTTGTCACTTTGTCCCCAAATCTCCTATTATCATTTGTCCCTCTGCATCCCATTTCTCACTCCTTTGTCACTGTGTCCCACAAGCCCCATTTCACTTGGTCCCTAATTGTTTAGTCTTGCTTCACTGTATCTGCTTAAAGGGATAGTGTAGTACTGTAGTAGCAGGAATACAAACCTGTATTCCTGGCACTACTGATCCCTCTGCCTCCCCCTTTAAATAAAGGGTTAAATCCCTTTATTTACTTACCTTATCTCAGCGTTGCGCCTAGCTGGGTCTAATGCGTATACGCAGCAAATGCTGTGCGCGCAACAAATGTCGAGCGCGCATTAGACCTCCCCATAGGAAATCATTGAATTAATGGTTTCCTATGGGGAAAAATCTGTCGCTGGAGGTCCTCATACAAGGCGTGAGGACGTCCAGCATCAGATAACAGACCAAAAGTCTGTTTCGATTCCACAAGCGCCCCCAGTGGCTTTCTGGTAGACAGCTACTGGGGCAGACTTAGTGCTGCAATGTAAACATTGCAGTTCTCTGGAACTGCAATGTTTTACATTGCAGCACTACGTGCAAAGGGCAGTAATCCCATGCCTCTCTTAGCCTCTATGCCACTAATACCCTGCCACGCTAGTTACTCTGTCCCCAACCTGTGTCAGTCTTTCACCTTAATACCTTATCCCCCAATTCTTTGCCACTCTGTTCGCTGTATTCTCAGGGTGGGTAGGTTATTTAATGTTTATGTACTTTATACACAGCTAAGCTATTAATTCCACTGTGAAAATTGCAGTAAATGTGTGTGTGTGTGTGTGTGTGTGTGTGTAATTTATAAAAAAAAAAAAAAGAAAAAAGTTACCTGCGTACAATTCCAAATCCTTATGTACATTTAAATAACTGGAGGTTTTTTTGTATGAGTATTTTAGCTCATCTGCCTGTTAAAATTATATTAAATGTACATAGTGATTTATTGTCTGTATTGGGGATGTGTACTATGGTCATTAATACTGCCCAGGAAAAGTGAGAATTTGAGCGCATGGCTTAATTTAGTATATTTATGTCTGTAATTGTAGGTTGGTTTTTTTTTTACATTTATTTTTGTAAATGTTTAAGGATTTTGCATTGTAATCACAACACAAAACATGTCGGGAAATAGTACATCACTTGTACTAGTGCAGGGCTCGACAAATGCTAGGACTAGACTAGGAATTTTGTCCTGACGCCTGGGTGTTTGTTAACCCATTCAAATAAATAAATAATAATTTGTGAGTGTATGACAAAATATGTGTGTCTTTAGGATACCACCTCCGCCTCCCTCCCCCCCCTCATTTCTTGTAAGAAAGCATTGGAAGTTTATTGTAAATGCGCTGCAAAACGTTGCACTGCGACAATATACTCGTAAAAATGCACACTGTGCAGCACTGAACTAGGAATCACCTCTACTGGCCATCTGAGTGACTATCACTAGAGGTGTTAATAGGCAGCAATGTAAACACTGCCTTTTCTCTGAAAATGCAGTGTTTACATTTAAAGGCCTGCATGGGCAGGCTTTAGACACCAGAATATTAAGCTTTAGTGGTTCTGGTGACTATAGTGTCCCTTTAAAAATAGTTGTGTTTTTTTGGAAAACCTTGCTCCCAACTTTTTTAGCTGGCCCCTAGATCGCAAACAAATTTGTCAAGCCCTGCAACAAGCAGGTTTGAACTTTGAGGGATTATTGAGTTGGTGGAGAAGCAAAGCAGATACTCTGAGAGGAACACAATGAAAGGAAGGAACGGTTTGGACAAGGCTGGCCTGTTCTAGCTGCTGCAGAGAAGGAAAGAACCTGCATCAAGGAACATGACCAGAGCGAGGAAGGCAGGTTGAGCTATGGATGAAATTTCACTTTTCCTTATAATGTTATAATGTTATAATTCCTAATTGTGTGTGTGAAATTAAACATCATTCTTATTCTTTATATAGCTGAAAAAGTATATTCAAAATGCCGAAACTATTTAAGGAAAAGAAATCATCAGGGGCAGTGTTCAGACAAAGACGAGCAGAAAAAGAGAAAGCTGGGAAGCGGATGTCTGAAGCTTTAAAGGAGTACTTGACTTCTCACAAAAGGAGAAAGCAAGATGCTACTGCATCAGAACCAGTTTCCAATGTTGCAAGCGAACCCGTACAAATCGATATCGATGAATCTTCAACATCATCATTCAAACAGCCCATCTCAGTCCAAGAGGCTGTTAATGTAGATGATGCAAATACTGGAAAAATACCAGAACATGATGAGCAACCTTCCACATCATCACACTCTGTCTACCTTGAGAAGACTATTGACCCAGAAGAATCAAATGACGAAGAAGAAGAAAGAGAGGAACTGCAGCAGGAGGAACAATCTACTTCTTTGGCAATACTGGATTTGTCGGATCCAGCTAATTGGCCAGCTGTTCTCACCACCTCACTAAGGGATGCTCTTGTCAGGAGAGGGCCTGCAAAGCAAAAAACTAACTTAATTTTCCCCAAAGATGCAGCGAATAGACGTTTCACTAAAGCAAATTACAAGCGACGGCTGCCAAACGGAGAAGAAACCGTTAGAAATTGGCTGGTTTATTCTGTCAAATTGAACAAAGTATTTTGTTTTTGTTGTAAGCTATTTGCAACTAAAGTCACTACAAGTTTGACACGTGGAGGTTATAATGACTGGAAAAACTTATCTCAAAATCTTTCCATTCATGAAAAGTCTAACTCTCATATTGTCGCTATAAGAGACTGGAATGAACTCTCGAGAAGATTTGGTTGTGGAAAAACGATAGATGCAGCTTCCCAGAGATTGTTGGCAAATGAAACACAACATTGGCAAGATGTTGTTAAGCGCCTTATAGGCATAGTAAAATATCTTGGTCGCCAGAGCTTGGCTTTCCGAGGTAGCAGAGATACATTATACAGTGACAATAATGGGAATTATCTGCAACTTGTGGAAATGCTGGCCACATTTGACACCGTTATGCAGGAACATCTGAAGAGAATAAAAAATAAGGACATTTTCCAACATTATTTGGGGAAAGACATTCAAAACGAACTCATCAGCCTTATAGCGAAAGAAATCACAAAACACATTCTGCAGTTGTTGAAAAATGCAAAGTATTATTCTATAATACTTGATTGCACACCAGACATTACATTAATTGAACAAATGACTATAATTGTTCGATTTGTGTCCATCAAGGAAGGCGAGTCTCCAACTGCTGAACCAGAGATCTGTATAGATGAAAAATTTCTAGGTTTTATCCAAATCCAAAGTTCAACTGGAGAAGGTTTAACTGAGGCAATTTTGTCTGAACTTGAAAAACTTAAGATCCCAGTTGGTGATATGAGAGGACAAGGATACGATAATGGATCCAATATGAAGGGCAAACACCAAGGTGTTCAGAAAAGAATCCTGGATTTAAACTTGCGTGCCTTTTATATTCCCTACAGCGCTCATACATTAAATCTAGTTGTGAATGATGCAGCCATGTCATGCAGGGATGCTGCAACCTTCTTTTCTATTGTACAGAAAATCTATTGTCTTTGTCAGGATCCACAGTTCAGTGGAATGTCTTGAAGAAGCACATTGGCAGACTTACGCTTAAACCTTTGTCTGACACCAGATGGTCTTCAAGAATAGATGCTATTCGTCCATTTAGGTTCCAGGTTGGAGAAATTTTTGATGCTCTCTCTGAAATTTCGAGAGAGAACTCTCACACGGCAATGGCACAGTCTGATGCTGAATCTCTTTCAAAAGAACTGAATAACTTACATTTTTTGTGTCTTATTGTGTTGTGGTACAACATCTTAAATAGAATAAACTTTGTTAGCAAACTTCTCCAAAGTAGAAGTATGTATCTCCCAGATGTTATAGATATTCTGGAATCCACAACCAATTATTTGAAGAATTATCGTTCTGATAAAGGGTTTGAAGATTTACTGGAAGAGGCAAAAGACCTGTCATTAGAAATGGAAATAGATCCTGTGTTTCCTCCTTTTGTGCGACAAACTAAAAAAAAAAAGATGTTTTGTTATGAAGCACCGGATGATCCGATTTGTGATCCTGCAAAATTTTTTAAAATTGAGTGCTTTTACAGCATTTTGGATGTATGTATTAATTCTCTTGATGAGAGATTTGGGCAAATTAAGCACCACAGCAAGCACTTCCAGTTTCTTTATAATATACAAAAACTTAAAGATATACCAAGGGAAGCAGTTATGGAGTACTGTATAGACTTGCAGAATATTTTGACTGATGATAAATCAGGAGATGCTGACCTGGATGGAGCACACCTTTGTGAGGAACTTACAATATTGGCTCCTATCTTGAGGCCTACAATGACACTCAGTCAGATTCTGGCGTATGCACTTAAAAATGGCTTTGCTCCCAATGTGTCTATTGCCCTTCGCATATTGTTGACATTGCCGATATCTGTAGCCTCTGGGGAGCGAAGCTTTTTAAATCTGAAGTTAATAAAGAATTATCTTCGGTCCTCTATGTCTCAAGAGAGATTGGTAGGACTTGCAATGATTTCCATTGAAAATCAGATTGCAAAAGAGATTGACTTTAAAACTCTGCTTCATGATTTTGTAACTGCGAAAGTAAGAAGGGTTAAGTTTTTGTAGGCTACCATTCTCACTTTGTTTGTGTGCAATATCTGTTAAAGCACTTTACACTTTAGGTGAATTTGCACTTGCAGAAACCTAAAGCGTACAGTTTTATTCATTATATAAAAGTTTTTATAGTATTTATATATGTTTGTTTTAAAGCACCTTGATACTAGTTCCACTACGTCATGCAGTTTGAGTAATAGTTACTGCAGTTTACAGGCAGTTGAATGCATTGTTATTTATTTTTGTTTTTGTTGAATAAATGTTAGTAAAATACACTTTACAAAACCACAAATTTGTTCTTATTTTTCTCAAAAAAAACAACAAAAAATGTATATGGGGGGGGGGAATATGTGAAATATGTGTATCATTTCTGAACCTGTCCTAATGTGTTTCACAATACAGGCCCAATATAGATTAGTTAATAGGCTGTGTAGCATAAGGCAATGTTCTTGCTTGGAAATATTATGCTTGCAATGTGACTGGCCAGTTCATTTGTTAGATTGACACACCATATTGCAATTTGGCTATTCGTGTTACCTTACTGGTAAGCATTTTGATGCAGAAGATACCCTGTCAGTTACTTGGCTTAGTTCTTTGAGATAATTTAGTTTTAGCTAGTCACAGATGTCATTGCTTTTACAGAGGAAATCAAAGCTTGAGTGGTCAAAATAAAAACCCTTTCTTCTGCTTAGAGAGGAACTGTTATGTTAAGGTAAGATAATGTTAACTCCTTAAAGGAATACTATAGTACCAGGAATACAAAGCTGTATTCCTGGCACTATTGCTCCCTCTGTGTGTATATATATATATATATATATATATATATATATATATGTAAAAAACAGATACAATTCTTATCTTGTAATACCTTATTTATTGGACTAACAGAATTTTTTAATGACAAGCTTTCGGGAGAACCTCCCTTTCTCAAGTCTGAAGCATTTCTGAGCAAAACGACACCTAGAATTCAAAGTTGAGTTGTGATACAGGGGTTAAAGCGACATGAGTGTAGATAAGATACAGGTTTGTTAGAAAATAGACACCATCTTAGCAGAGGGTCATAAATATCTTGTTGAAGAGCAGAGTGAGGGGGGAGAGAGGGAAAAGAAAAACAAACAAGCAGACAGTGCACAGGATGGTACATTTTATACATGCACACACACATAAATATGTATATATGAACGCATAAACACATGTACATATACATATACATAAACACATATACATACATGCACATGAACTCATATACACAAATATAAATGCACAGTAAATATATAAGCATTCATGCATATGAGTATGGGAAAGCATAGGTCTACACATAGTACTTTGTATATAGATAGAATAAACATATAGGAATGCATTTTAAAGTGTTGGTACATATGACAGAATAGTAAGATAATGCTGGGAGAGTGTTCATGTAAAGTGTTGGTAGTGGGACAGGAATCCCAAATCAATATTTAGTCCTCTATTCTTGCTGTTAAACCATTTTATCATTCTGGCTTCAAAGGCTTTTCTTTCCTGGGTATTTTTAAAACCCCCTTTCAGTACTTTGATTTTGAGGTCCTTCAGTGAGTGGCCAGGCTGGGTAAAGTGGTGTCCCACAGGAGTGCAGTATGATTCTTCTTTGTGGTGTTTAATAGAGTGTCTGTGCATATTCATTCTGCCATTCAATGGCTGGGTGGTTTCCCCAATGTAGCATCCTAGGTGGCATTTTATGCATTAAATCATGTATACCACATTGCTGGATGTGCAGGAGTATGAACCTTTAATGCTGTAGGTTTTATTGTTGTGTGTGGCTGTGTTGTCTGTGCATATGTGCTGACACAGTTTGCAGCGAGGTTTTTTGCATTTACTGGTCCCGTTTTCTTCATTCTTACCATCAGTGGGCAGCCTCCTATTGATTAATTTTTGTTGGAGGTTTGGTGGTTGTCTGAAGGCCAAAATGGGTGTTTCAGAGAAAATGTTTTTCAGAGTCTCATCTTCTGTTAATATTGGTTGTAGGTCTTTGATGATTTTCCGTATTTCCTCAAGAGCTGGGTTGTAGGTGACCACAAGTGGCACTCGTGTGGATATTTTTTTCTCTCTGTACTGTAGCAGGTGCGTGCGTGGCATTTTTACAGCAGAGTTGATTTGTTTGGTAATAGTCTTTGGTTTGTAGCCTTTCTGTCTCATAGATTGGGAGAGTACATTTAGATGGGAATTACGGTCATTAGGATCAGAGCATATGCGATGGTACCTAGTGGCTTGGCTGTAGATGATGCCCTGTTTAGTATGACAGGGGTGGAAGCTGGAGCTGTGTAGGTAACTGCACCTGTCTATGGGTTTTCTGTAAACCAAGGTGTGGATTGTGCCATTATTACATGTCACAGTGGTGTCCATAAAATTCACAGATCTAGTGGAATATTAAATTTTTAGTTTGATTGATGGATGGAATGTGTTGAAAGAGTCATGGAACTGTATCAGTTTTTCTTCGCTTTCAGTCCAAATTATGAAGATATCATCGATATAGCGATAATATTTGTATGGTTTGGTGTGTTGTATTTCTAGGAATCTCTGTTCAAGATCTGCCATAAACAGATTAGCATATTGGGGTGCCATCTTAGTGCCCATAGCAGTGCCCATGGTTTGTAGGTAAACCTCATTGTTGAAACTGAAGTAGTTATGTGTGAGGATAAATAGTGCCAGTTCTGTGATAATTCGGGGGCTGTATTTTTGGTTGTTGACATGAGAGAGAAAATGGAAGCAAGCATTGATGCCATCTGTATGTGGAATGTTGCTGTATAGAGATTCCACATCCATGGTTACGAGGATGGTGTTAGCAGGGAGATTGGTGATTTGGCTGAGTTTGTTGAGGAAGTCAGTTGTGTCTTTTATGAAGCTGTTAGTGTTGGTGACTAGAGGTTTTAGGGTATTTTCTACCAGTCCTGAGATCTGTTCTGTGAGAGTTCCCATTCCTGTAATTATGGGTCTTCCAAGATTACCTGCTTTGTGAATTATGGGAAGCATATAGAAAGTGCCCATGCAGGAACTAGTTGGTATGAGTGATTGCAGTTCTAGGTGTAAGTTCTCAGGGAAGGACTTAATGAGCTCCCTAAGTTGTGATGTATATTGCTTGGTGGGGTCTTCATTTAGTTTTCTATAGTATTTGTCATCTGACAATTGCCTGTCACCCTCTTTTATGTAGTCCTGGGTGTTCATTATCACTACTGCTCCTCCCTTGTCTGCTGGTTTGATGGTGATAGCATGATTATTTTTCAGGTCATTTATAGCCATTTGTTCCTGAACTGAGAGATTATGAAACATTTTCTTTTGGTTTTGCTCAACTTTGAATTCTATGTGTCATTTTGCTCAGAAATGCTTCAGACTTGAGAAAGGGAGGTTCTCCCGAAAGCTTGTCATTTAAAAATTCTGTTAGTCCAATAAATAAGGTATTACAAGATAAGAATTTTATCTGTTTTTTACATCTACATCACTGGACTAATACGGCTACAATCTCTACTTATATATATATATATATATATATATATATATATTGTAACAAACCACCTCTTTTACAGGTAGGATTGTCACCGATCTTGCAGTAACCACAGCCTTCTAGGGTATACAAAGTCCAGGACACCTTCAGCTCAGTTTTTCTTTTTATTCAGTAAGAAAACAGGTTCTTTAAATAATAACAAAAACAAACAAAATCCCTTGCTCTTACTTGAGCTCTTACTAGACAGTAATTACTATCTGCAATTGGGTGGCTTTCCCACTTACCAATTTTCCAAACAAAAGAAATGTCTTTACAATAAACACACTTGTCTTTCACTCTCCTAGCTGTCTTTTCCTCCCTCACTCTGCAGCAGGCTGCCCTCTTCTTTTAAAGGCCTGTCTACTAATTGACTGGCTACAGGTGAGTGCCAATTAACTAACTCGTAAGTCAGATCCAAATAGTGGTCTGTTACATAGCAACTAATGCTGTTGGAGTATTGGCCCACCCTGCTCTCCAAATACTCCGCCCCAGGGACCCATACCATGTTTTGCAGAGCATCAGCTATGCATATTGCAAACTTTAACATCTCTCCCTGGGGCATTTAACTGAAAAATCCTCTGGTTGCTGTTTAGCAAATCAGGTCTGATGTATCTTCCATCAACCACTATTCCACCTTTACGCTCACAATATATATATTCACAACACTCTTACTGCAGAATATTTAAATACACTTTAGCTCATTTAGCACTACCACTATTTACTTTGTCTCCCATGTTGGAATTAGTGTAGGACCTACCGATATTGAGGTACTGTGGTGTAGTGGTGGGCTTAACAAGATATGTCCATATGGTTAGGGCAGGTACAAGACTATTCTGTGCCCTAGGCAAAACCAGCTACTTGCACCACCCCACACAAAGCAGGAATTGTGAACTTTATATGTCTCTTTTTTTCCCCCAGCCCCCTTGTATGTCCTCTTTTCTCCTTCCATAGCCTTTCTCTGTGTCTCTTCCCCCTCATCACCTTTGTTTGCCTCTTCCGTTACTAGCTCATCTGTGTTTCTCTTTCTTCCGAGACCCTTTTTGTGGCTTTCTCCCTTTGACGCTTTTTGTGTCCACCCCCAGCTGCATTGTGTATCTCTTTCTCCTCCAGACCTTTTGTTCTTTGTCCCCCACAGCCACTCTGTGTGTATTTTTGTTCCCCACAGCCCCTCTGTGTTTCTCTTTGCACCCCCAACCCTTTGTGTCTCTTTCTCCCAAACCCCTTTGTTTGTCTGTTTTTCATCTTTACCAGCCCCACTGTGTCCTCCAACCCCTTTGTGTATCTCTTTGCCCCCAACAGTCCCTTTTTGTCTCCTTGTGCCCCCAGCCCTGCGTCTCTTTATGATTACCTTAGCCCATGCACCCCTTAGTCCTTCTCAGCCCCTGTGTGTCTCTCTGTTGCCCCCAGAGCCTGTGTGTCTTTGTGCCTGGCCCCTATGTATACATTTTTGTGCCACCCTCAACCCTATGTGCACTTCTTTGTCCCTCCCAACCCCTGT